GCGTACCACACCTGAATTCACAACACCGTAACTCCCACACCCACCGCACCGTAACTCCACCAAACCGCAACTCACCACACCCAATTTCACCACATGACATGATATCACTTGATGTGGCATCAATGATATCATTTGGCACAAAGTGAACCAAAATAAACAAGATTTTTAATCTTATATAACGAAATATAAGATAATAGCGGCGTTCATATAAATTGATAAACTTCGGATAAACGAGATAAAATGATAATTAAATCAGTTTATCACTTTTGATGAAGACCCCGAATATATTGCAATATAATGATGTTTCCATATGTTTTTTGGTTTTTGGTATCTTATCTTATATACATATGGGCAAACATGTTTTCTTTACACCCCTTTTACGGCTAAACTATACCTTAAACGTATAAACAATTATGTATCATTAGAAAGGTATTTTGATGCTGATGTGCAGACAATTTTTAAAATTTCAAATTGGTTTAACATAAACCGAAAAAAAACTATTGAAAAGTGACACCAATACTATTGCCGCACATGTACATGCTTGGGGCGGAAATGCCCCCTAAATGTATGCTGTAATATTGATACTGAATTAAAGAAATCTGTCAAGCAGCAGTTTCGGAATCAGATTTATGAAGATTAAGATTCATGCAAGGAAGAAGGTAAAGTTGAATATGTAGAAGAAGAAAGGGATAAAAGCAAAGATTAGAATAACAGTAAAGAAACCCAAATATAAACGAAGGTGAATATGAAGATGAAGATGAACATGAACATGAACTTGAACATGAACATGAAGGTGAAGATAAACATAAACATTAAAAGCGATAGAGATAGAGAGGAAGAAAGTGATAGGGATAAAAAGGAAATACAACTGAAGAATGTGCTAGGTTATATTGTGGTGTGTTATGCTACATATGTTATTTAATCTTATGTTATGCGAATTGCTAAGCTAAACTCCCCTCCACTTAACCCATTCCAACTAATGTTATTTCAGCTCAACTCAACTCATATAATCAAATCAGCTCTCATTGCGTGTGATGTTAATAGCAATAGTGAAATTTATCTAGTTGATAGCTTTTTAAGTTAGATCTCATGCAAATTAATTGTTTTCCCAATAAACTTGGTCGCACTTTAGACTTGATATTTTTAAGTACAACTGTAAATTTTTCTTTACAGGAGTGTAATTTTCACATAACTAAAACAGACATGCACCATGTACGTCTAGTTGTTGATTTTGAATTTTATAAATTTTCTAAACTTAGCAATGCTAATTCTAGCTTATCATTTAACTTTAAGCAATGCGATTTTTTGAAATTGAATGGTCTTTTGTTGGATGTCAACTGGGATAACTTGTTTCACCACTGTAATGTCTCGGAGTGTTTCGAGAAGTACTGTTGTAGAAATTTGCAAATGTACTCTTCCAGAATTAACAAAAAAGCATTACAAGGTACCATGGCACAATGCGGCTTTAATGAGACTACGAAATAAGAAAAACAAGTTTCTTCGTAAGTTCAAAAAAAGTCATAATAATGTTTACTTCGGCCTGTATAAAAAATACTCCAATGAATTCGTATGTTTGGATACATTTTTGCATAGAAACTATGTCCTTAGTTTTGAAACCAACTTAAAATCAAATCCAAAAACATTTTTTGTTCCAGCATTCCGTCGGCACTTTTTATGGGTGACAATGCTGCTAATACTCCTACAGAAGCCGCTAATTTATTCGCTGAATTTTTTAAGTCCAATTTCAGAACAGATTCCAATAGCGTTTCTTTCGATATTCAACAGTCTCTTGAATTTGGCAAATTAACACTTACTTCTGAGGATGTGCTCAGTGGCATTGCTCGGCTTAAACCCTCCTCACAAACTGACGATGATGGTTTGTCTGCACTTTTGTTTAAACAGTGTGAATCTTTAGTGTATCCATTATTAGACATTTTTCCAATCAGCGATTCAGGTTGACACGGTCTATACTGATTTTTCTAAGGCTTTCGATAGGGTAATCCATAGTATCCTGTTAAAAAAAAATTAGCCTGCATCGGTTTCCACTCAGTTTTCCTGAGCTGGATTTCATCGTACTTACACAATCGTCGTTGCATGGTTGTTTTCGACAATGTTAAGTCTCTGCCTTTTGTTGCACGCTCAGGAGTCCCGCAAGGTAGCATCCTGGGTCCATTGCTTTTTGCCTTGTTTATTAACGATATCTGTACATGTTTCTCCTCGTCAAAGTTTCTGCTTTACGCGGATGATCTTTATTCTACGATCAGTAACTCTCTCGATTGTCAATTTATGCAAAACGATATCGATAATGTTAGCAATTGGTGCATAAAAAATAGTCTTTCGTTGAATACAAATAAATGCTTTTACGTTACCTATGCTAAACGTTGTAATATTATTCAGAGCTCTTATCATATTTCCATGTCACCACTACAGCGTTTAAATGAAATTAAGGACCTTGGAGTAATTTTTGACTCAAAGTTTACATTCGCTAATCACAGTGGCGGATTTAAATATTTGCCGCCCCTAGGCAATTCATAACTTGCCGCCCTTTTTTCACGAAAAAAAAAAATATATATATATATCAAATATGATTGTTATTGTCAGTGCTTTATTACAATATAGTTCGTTAATAATGAAATACATAACGGAATTAACAAATTCGACATCAGCATGGATAAGGTATTCAACAAAAACCCTCTTTCAAACACTTCTTTTTCACAGTTCTTTACGTCTTGATTTTTCAGCTGCGAATTCGCGGATAATATCTTCACAATCGATAGATAGAAACAAATCTGACTCTATAGTCAGCAACGCAAGAGCATTCAGTTTGTTTTCGCTCAATGAAGATCTGAGATAGTTTTTCACGCGAAGCTGACCTTCAGATTATTCACGTTATGATACACTTATGAAAAACTGGTGGGCTTGGAATCAAGAATTTTCTCGAAAATGCACGCTCGTTTTTCGGCAGTGTTGTCAAGTGTGGTAACCTTTTAGATGATTCTCGTTCTCGGGGCAGCGTGTCGGCTGTTTCTTTGCGTCACGCGCAGGCGCGCCGTCAGGTTTCTAAGCCGCGTGAATGAAAGTTAAATGGAAATTTCAACGACTGCTATACTAAGGAAAAATTCGCAGCGTAATTCTAATTTTGAATTGTATTGAATGAGATGAATCATTAATAATATTTTACAGACACAAACACAATTTCAAGTGCAGCTGAATCCAAATAAATTTTTTTCTTTTAATTTAGCTGTCTTAAATTTTGCCGCCCCTTAATTCTGCCGCCCTAGGCTTCAGCCTATGTTGCCTGTACGATAAATCCGCCACTGGCTAATCATATAAATTTTATTATTACAAAATCGTATTTCATGCTTGCTTTTGTAAGGCGCCGTGGTAGGGAATTCACCGACCCGTATACACTGAAACTTTTGTATATGGCTTTTGTACGCTCCAGGCTTGAATACGCGTCCTTTATCTGGTCTCCTTATTATGCGTGTCATATTGCTAGGATTGAGCGGATCCAAAAAATTTTCTTACGCTTTTCGGACCCTATCCCCTCCTATGAATCGAGATGCCTGTAGATAAACTTAAAATCCTTGCAAAGTAGGAGAATAATCCTTTCTTTATCTTTTGTTTTCGATCTAGTCTGTGGTGTTGTAGACTGTCCCGTACTCCTTGAGAGGATTTTCTTTAATATACCTGCCAGACCTCAACGCTGCTCAGAGTTTTTCCATGTTGGTATTTTTAGGGCTCTATATGCACGAAATGCTCCCATCACTAGAGCCTTAATTGAATTCAACAGAATTTATAAATATGTTGATATCGATTTTTCAACTTCAAAAAATCGCTTTAGGAACTCTCTGAATCTTTTTTATAAGTAGTTTTATTTTTTCTTATTATGTATTAATAATGTCAAACTATTTTCTACTTAGCCTATAAGAATTTTTTTGTATTCATTGGCTAAATAAATAAATAAACAAAATTTTAAAGAAAAAATCGGGCTGGTGTATTTTTCTGTAGAATCGGCCATGTACAGCAGTAATAAGTTAATTATTTAAATCGACGAGTAGTTTTATATAAACTTTTGCGAACTTCTATTTATGTGTTTTTGTACAACATACCTCTATTAGTTCCAATAATTTTAAGCTATAATAAATTTTTTTATGGTTTTCGTTTCTTCTAAAAAATGTTGTCCTTTTCCGGTGCAAAATGTGTTAGATGTTACATTCAACCCTGTAAAAGGGCATGGTTTTGCCTTCTTGCCCTTGTCTAGTTCAGTCATTTTATAATATTGTCGTTTTAAATAACCATCTGATCTAGATACGCCCATGATCGATATTGTTATCGATATATGTAATAATCACCATTGTTATCCGTCTAATAACCGATATTGTTATCGATAAAATAATAGATCTTGTTTTCGATATATGTATTTATCGATAATTTAATTTATTTTGCAATCGTTATATTTTCTAAATGTCTATCGGTATATTTGTGGATGACATGGCATCACATAATATGATATTACATCATATGACATCACATGGAATGACATCATATGATATGACATTAAATGATATCATATCATATGACAGGATATGACATCACATGACATCACATCACATGATATGCCATCAAATGATAAAACATCATATGACATGACCTCACATGTTATGACAGCACATGACATGACATTCTATCGCATAACATTAATACATATATATGTATGTATGTACATATATTGATTATGAGACAAACTAAATAGATATGTATAGTAAGTTTCACTTCTCCAGTGTGGGCCAGGCGCACTTACTTTTTTTCATTAGTTTTAAGAATTAATATTACCCGTTTAGGCATATTTCATGCGAAACGGCAAATTTCCACGGTTTTATTAAATTATGCCAAGAAATGAAAGCTTTCTAACACAACGTTCGTTTGCTCTCCAACGAGAGCTTTTCATATCCTGAACTTTACTATGTTTCGCTATTTCGTAGCCGCCGAAAAGGATTACTGGTATCTTCGTTTTCTCGCTTTGACACATATTCATAGTTATAAGTGGAAACAGTACTTTTGCATTGTTGTAAATATTAAGAAGAAAACGCGACTAAAATGCATTTATAAAATGTGCTAAAAGTTTTAAATACTTAACGCATAAAGTCTATATCATTTTCGTAGTGAAACAAAGCAGTTATAGATTAGTTAAATGAATGTACATACATAAAAAGCTGCTACACGTAAAATACTCCACATTTGTGAAACAATAAAAAAGAAGCGAACTTTAAATTCCTAGCATAAAACGTTGTACAAAATCGATATCTCGCCAAATCTCGAAGTGAGTTGGCTACGAGCAAACGAAATGCAGTGAGGGGAGTGACAGAATATTGCGTTTAAACAGTGTATTATGTTTTAATTATGCGAGTTATTATAAGTTATGAAAAATAGGATGTGTGAAAGTCGTGTTGATTGTGCGAAAATTTTGAAAAATATTCGTATTAAGTAGCGGCAGTGATATATGTAAAATATCCCTTTAGACGAGAAAAACGATATTTATTTAGTGTGAAGAAGTACTTGCACTTTTGATTTAATTTTAAATTCCAAAAAAATTGAGATCAAGTTAGAAAGAAAGGTAAGCAATAGATCTGCGTTAAGTGTGTGGGTTGTAAGTATTTACATACTTTATTTATATATGTACGCAGTTTAAGCGTCATAATAATTAATGCAAAGGCATTTACATATATATTTATGAATGTATGTACATACATTAAAGCATATGCACATATGTACATATGTATGTATGTATGTATGTATGTACTTACATACTATTTGAGTCTGTTTGGGCTGGGTAAATTTAAATAATCATGCATGCTTATTTTATTAAAACAACTTAAGAGATTTTAGAAGGTTTGATTTTGAATTAAAAAATTATATATATTTTTTTTAAGCTTCTATTAAGAGGGCATCTTAAACTTCACCTATTGCTAGTTAATCGTTAAAATATTGTTTGGGAACCCAATGAAATATTGCTTTAAAGGGCAAATGGTCTATCGCGAGATAAGTTGATTTAATAAAATGCCACAGATATGTACATACTGTATGTAGTATGTATGTATATGCTTTGATGTGAGTACCTATGACATTTCACAGGCGCTAACAAAGGCTCAAGCTGCTCATATTACCACTATTCGTATTACGTTGGGGATAAATGATTCATTGCGAAAAATTACATTTCCCATTTTCTCTCAAAGTTTTCGCTCCATCATCAAATGATATTCGTGCGAAAGGACAACTACGCATATAACCAGCTCCTTCTTCTTCACTTTTACAAACATAGGCAATTTTGCGCTCTGTATTGTTTTATAGGAAATGGTAATGATACATCGCACATTTAAACAAATACCAAATGGTAAAAAAGTAAAACCTGTCGGACCTGGGTAGAAAATCCACAAGCAGCTTAAATATTTGAAAACATTTAGGTTGTTCACACTTGCCTGTTTATCAGGTTATCTGGTTAAAAATTATAATTCTGTAGTGTAATTTATTGTTGTAAACTGAATAAAAAATATAACCAGATAACCTGATAACCAGGCAAGTGTGAACAACCCAATTGTGTTGTCATTGCGGACTAGTACCACTTCAAAATAGCGCTATTTAATATTTTACTACACAGTTCGATTTGCTGCACGATTTGAAGAGGTTAAAGCTTTGCAAATATAAAATTTATGTATGGAAATATGTATGTACATGTATAGTACATATCGCCGTTTAAAGTACAAAACCGCGTATCAACAAAATGCAAAACCGCGTATGTGAATTATGTAAATTATCTTCTAGAGAGTAAAAACACTCATATTTCAAAATGGTTATCTTTTTTATAAAGCAATCGCATACGTGGCCAGTATATTTCAGGACGAATGGATAAGGATTGAGCCAAGAGCTTGTGTGAGCAAATCCAATTTCTGGCAGCTAATGCCAGTTACGCAGTTTTGCAGAATGACGATACGCGGTTTTATACTTTAAACGACGATATGTACATACCCAGTTGGAAGTTAGGTAAAAGTATCTTGCGAAATAATCCATATTTTCTTACAGATTTTAATACCAAAATTGTTATCATGACTAATGCTATTTATTAGTAAATCACAAATTGAATACCTCCGATTACATCTTACTTAGTAAGATGTAAAACAATGTGCCGCCAAAGATATGTAATACCGAACGTCGAACTACTCCGATCGATTGCTCTAAATTCCACGTACATTATTTGGTAACGCGGTTAAGAAATATTTTTGATACCAAATGTGCGTTCTAAATTCCTTCTGCCATAATATGGCTATGCCTTTGATAAAGGAGAAATTCGGCAGGGAAGTGGTAAGCACCGCCGGGTGAAGAGTAAGTTGCTGGTAATGCATTATTACGTGCTTCGATTTCCTATTGGGTACATACATACATACGTTCATACCCAGCCAGCAGAGAAACGTACTTTTTCGTTTCCGGAAATGTTCAGAAAACGTGTTAGCTTTCAGGAGGTTCCAGGTTCGAATTCCGTCAGAAGCAACACATTAAAAGTAGTTATTCAAATTGAAATAATTGCTGATTCTTAAATTTGGTTTTTGTTTGGTTTCCTGTATCTATGAAAAAGTTTCTGTGATGTTCATAATGAAATCGTTTTCAACGAAAAATTTAATCAGACAAATTTCAGGAAAACAGCCGAAAGCGCATCCGTTTTACAACCATTTTCGATAGTTTTCTACACATACGTTTCGAATGAACACTTAAGTGGGGGAATTGATCTGAAATACGTCCGAAAACGGAATAGGAAAACGGACGAAACATCAGGTTTTTATACGAAATTGTTTCCATTTTCGGGTACGTTTTCGGATATTTTGCTGGGTGGGTACATATAAATATATTGGTGATACTATTTACTTTATGTAAGTGCATTTTCACGGGCGGTAAATACATAAACTCTCTTAAGACCTGTTGAAAAGTTGTGTGGTTACCAGAGTGTCCAGATTTGGCGATTTCGCGCCAATTTGGCGATTTTTTTTTTTTAGATATTTGCGCGTAAAAGTTTAGGAAATCGCCATTGGCGATTTTTTCCCATCAAATAAATTTGTTGCAATTATAAAAATATACAAAACTTAGTTTTCCACGATAATTTTACAGAAGAGGCCAATGAACCGCGTGATAAACTTGACTAAAGAAGCATATTAAAAAACTGTTAAAAATGTTTAATCACCCCAATCGAAGAACTTTTGCAACGATTACCTAGTCAATTAAATACTTTTAAAAAACCCTTTAATTTTGTCACCATAAAAGTATGTGAATCTCAAGAGGGCGAGTTTCAGGGACCTGCCAATTCACTATTTGACTTTGAAGGAAGGAAAAGCAGCGGAAACTGAATATTTAAATCTTTTAACTTTCCCATGGAATAACTTTTCTCAGAACCATTCCATCCGACTCTGAATAATTTTGGATAATTGCTTACGGAGTGAAAACCTCAAAAGGCAGTAAAATGTTTGGAAATATAAGTAAATTCATATTATTATCCATGCCGCACTCACATGCTTTGTTGAACGCATTTTTTCTGTAATGAATTCAACATAAACTAAGATTCGAAATAGGATGAGGTTGGAATAAAGTGTGTGTAGTTCGAATAAAGTTTTTTAAGAAGGCTAATAGTTTCTGCTGCAAAACGTTTCCAATATCAAACAGTATGTTATCAAGGTTGAATACCTCAATATATGACAACAACAGAAATGTAAATAATTCATACACTACAGGTGTTTTAAAAAAATTGTGGAAATAGCTAATCTCGCCTTATTATAGGTTTTTATTTTATTTTTTGCGCCGAGCTCTTTAAAGCGGATTGTGCGATTAATCAATTAATATGAATAATAAATTTAATAATTGCGCAGTCCTATTGCAAAATGTGTTGAAACAAATATTTTTAAAAAGTATGCGTATTTTTAAAGAAAATTGTTTGTACATCACTATTATATACATAAGTGATCTATGTTATTTATTATTACCCGCTGAAGGTATCATATTTGTTTTTGGTTTTAAAAACTATATTATAAGAAGATCTCATTTTTAAAATAAAAGATTTGTTAAATCGATTTTATGAATTTTATTAAAAAAAAAATTGGCCATTTTTGGCGATTTTTTCTTCAGAAATTGCGCTGTTTATTTAAACAATTTGGACAATCTGGATACAATGAGATATGTATATTTTTTTTTTTGCTGCGCACTCTATTCATGACTACCACTAGAGTCCTACCGAATAATCGGCATCGGCATAGGCTGTTTTTGGCCGATTCTTAGCCGATTCTGTTTACTTTTTCCGCAATTTTAACAAATGTTCATCAAAATTTCAAACTGTTCAGTCAGATTTTTTAGAATTTATTTGAGTACGCAGTTTTTTAAATTTTAGTATAATAAAGTGCAAGATAAGCTAAGATAGCTAGATAAGTGTTGATTTTTGACAATTTTTTGTTCAGTTCACGCATTTTCTTCCAAACAAAGTTTGTTTGAATTTTTTTTCTATGGATAAAATCTGCAACACCTTCCACGAAAAAAAATTTCCAAAAATCAATAGTAAGTCCTAGTTACTTATTATTTGCACTTCATTAAAATAAAATTGAATGGGATACAAAACTGCATACTCAGAAGGTTTAAAGAAAAAGTCTGAAATTTTTACTAACATGGTTTTTGTTAGATAACGAGTTATATTTTCATAAAAAAATAAGGGACATGAAATAAACGAAAGGGAAATGGCCAAAGAATGCTAAAATGTCGTTACTAAAAGTATTGTTATGATTGTCCTTGAATCCTTCGGGTTCTTTTCACTGGATTGTTAAATTGTTTACGTTACAAAAATACTTTTATCATTAAAAATCTACGTTTACTGTTTATTAACAAATTGTATTCAATACAATACCTTTATACTCGGCAGAAACTGCATATTTTTACAATTATGAGTACAACTAAAAAATGTGATTTTGAATAAACTATTTTTTATTTTTTAACATTGAATAAGAAAAGGACTATGGAACAAGGTATTGCAATGATATGTATGCATAGGCGACATACTGCTCTTAATACATATTTATGTATGTATATAAATAAGTGATATATTCTTGAATGATTATTTGCTTTGTAATGTTATTTTTTTATGTTTTTCTTTTTAGTGTAAGATCCGACAAAGGCACGACCTTCACCCATCTGTTTAATGGATGAAATCTATTTTGTATGAAATTTAACCTGTTAATAAAAATTTCGCTAGTGGGTTGGCTGAAAAAATCCTGGTCAGGATATTTTTAATTAAATATTCAAAAATTGTAATTTTTTAAATTTTTTACTAATTTCGTTAGTGAGCAATATCGATAGTATTAAGCCTATAGAACGTGAAAACGTTGGCTTGTCTATTTTTTTCCCTGGCCTACCCATCGGGTTGGCAGGTATGAACAGGTAGGTAATACTAGTAATTTTCAATCATATGTTTAACACATTATAAAGGATTTATGCTTTCGATTGGTATATATGTAATTGATTCATTAAAAAAAAGAGTGCAAAATAAAAAAATATAATTTTTGAATGTTTAATTAAAAATATCCTGGCCAGGAT